TTTTTCTTATCCTTTTCATATCAATTTAAAAAATTTAAATAAAAAAAATGATAAAAATTGTTTATTTGTCATCATTGCTTTTGAATACTATGAAAATACTGTAATATGCACCTACTTTGTGATTGAAACCACACACTTTTCAAAGTACAATGCAACGCCTTTTAAAGTATATACAAGACACAAGAAGAACGACGTAGACATAAGTGTCCACATCGTTCTTCTCTGGTGGTTGGCCTGGTTCTGGGACTGGGAACATGAAGGCCAAGCAATGTGGTTTGGGCGAACTCGTGACAAGTCCTGCGTACACTTAGCGCAGAACATTACATTAAAATGCGATTAGTCATAGTTTCTTTGCTTACTAGATATCTCATAGTAAAATAGAATTGACAATGAGTTATCTTGAACTACACTTAAGTAAATTTCCAAGAAAATGCCTAAAGGCTCTAAACTTTGTACCACCCCGGTTGAAAAACACTGGACTAAGTGGTTAAGATTTAAAAAGTAAAGAAGATTTTATGTTATTTTTATGTACATTTCATTACAAAGCTATATTTAATTATAATTTTCTTTAAAAGTATTATATCTAAATAAATAGATGTTTTTATCAAAGCAAGAATTGGCATTAAAGGACATAGGGAATATATTGGATCTAATGACAGAGGTAATTGTATTGAACTTGTTTATTTATTAAGTACGTCAGATAAATAATCTATTAAAAATACATTTAAAGAAAGAATTAACTGATTGCCCCTGAAAGTTGGCTTCTTATAGAAACACAGCTTCCCTATCAACAAATGTCACGGCATGCCACTGCTCTACAGTAGTGCTCTTTTGGAACATATTTGGTGTTTTGACATTACATTTGATAGCATCTTTCATTTACGCTACCTGTCGCTACCTGAAACTGACCAATGAGGCTTTTTGTTCCAACGCAACATCACTCATTGTTCAGCAGATCCACGTAACAATTTGTCCAGTTACAACTGTTGAGTAGTCTGCTGAATGCAGCCATTCATGTAAAAAAAATTACATTAAAATAATCTGAACACAAATTTTACATCACTACCAAGTCCATTTGTCATGCTGAGAATTCTAAAACATTCCAAAACAATGGCAATTTATTTTCTTTCATGATAAAAGAAGACAGGTTGAATAGATTGGTAATATATGAATAGAACACATTTCTTAATTGACTTCAATGATATAATTAAAAAGATTTTTAGAATTTGGAAAAATAGCTTAATAGTATAAAATAAAATTTGTCCTAGAAATTTTAAGTACATTTCTGTAATTTCAACTAAAGACTTACTTATTTTTAAAAAAATAACACATTATTAGTTTTGAACTAAGATAATATGTATTTAAAATGAAATGGAATGAATAGTAAACAAAATTGACTTAGCATACTTAGAATAGCTTAATTATGATTAATGAATTGAAGTTAAAATTAATAGTTGCTAAAAGAATGAAAAATCTTTTGTTTAATAGGAGCAGCACATGGTCTTTCAGGAATTCTTCAAATGCTTTTGTCATTTCCTGAATTTTTGTCTAGAAATCCTGAGGCAGAACAAACTATAAAAGGTGCTGTAGATTTCATGTTAAATTTACAAACAGCTAATGGAAATTTTCCTTGTGCCATGGATGAAGTGACACATCCAAGACCAGAAAGAGAAGAATTAGTACATTGGTGTCATGGTGCACCGGGTAAGATATCCAAATTTGTATTTAAAATTATGTAGTAATCTGAAATTTAAATATGCAGAGTTCTTATGAATTTTAGAATATAGATTTTTTTTGTTTTTTAAATTTGATTGTCTGATCTATATATATGTTACCGCTAAAGCTCGAAATCCGTTAATGTGCACATTACCTAGCTAATCTGCACATTAACTAGGGTGATCCATTAAAGTTGCTAAAATTGTTCTATTTCTCAAATTACCTAGGTAATGTGCACAGTATCTAGGTAATCTGCACATTACCTACTAGGCACTCAGTAAAGTGAAAATAAGATTTTTGTTGGAACAACAGTAACGTTTCTGTACGCTTAAATTAACATAATGTTATTTATTTAATTTTCAATATCTAAAGAATCAAGTTAATACAATCAAACAATCAACAAATTAGTTGATTGAATCAATCATCAATCAATTAAAAAAACTTTAATACAAAAATCAAACGGTTTAAAATATTATTACTATTA